TGCCACAAGAATGATTTCTGTCCTGACCCCTCCTTTGATTAACACTACAGCCTACTCCTCAGGGATAACCAAGGCCCCCACCCCATTCCCAGGGAAATGATGCAACCAGTCACTAGCTGGTAGCTGGATCTGCCATGAAAGACTCGGGAAAGGTAAAGAAAGTGTTGTTTGAGCAGGTCCCAGGGATAAAAAGAGGGGGCTTAGAAAATGGAGGAGGGGAAGATTGTGAAAAAAGCAAAGAAAAGATTGCTAAAGAACATGGATAGAAACTTGGAGAATAAGAGGGCAGCATAATGTGGTTGCTAAGGGAGGGCCCTGGGGCCAGATACCAGTTTCAAAACTCATGAGTCACTTACTCGATGTCTTAATTCACCTATTTGTAAATGAGCCTGAAAGTGCCACCTTCAGGTGACTGTGACGCTCCAGAAACATATTACAGGGAAGCCCCTAGCACAGTGTCTGGCAGGAGGAAACGTTTATTACTTGTGGCTATCTCCTAAGAATAAGAAGATGAATGCGGGAAGGCAGGAGAGGAAGGAAGCAGAACAGTGCTTTACCTAGATCCCCACCCTCCTCAGTAGCAAGCAGCAAGTATTCACTCCATAGAAGCAGCACTAAGGGAAATTAAAAAAGAGGGTCACACTAAAAAAATAAAAATAAAAATAAATAAATGGCTTTTGAGAAATGCAAGTGTTTCCTTAATTTGCTCTATGTTGTAATGTTCTCTGACGAAGCCCCTTAGTAAATGTCTGTTGAAGTGGGCTGACACTAGTTGAGAATCTTCAACATACAGGAGAGAAGAATCACGTAGAACCAAATATTAAAAGTCAAACACACACATGTCCAAAACCGCCGGAGCTTGGTTTCAGCTGGCAGAGTGTGGCGCTCCCTCACGCCCAATCCGGGCTAGCTGGACCCGGCGGGGCCCGACTAGGATCACAGTGTACCGTCCTCACCTACAGCCCAAGGACTGGGGTGAGGTGGAGGTGACAGTCTCGGGTGTCTCTGTTCAACCGTGAAATCCTCACCACAGGAGACGGCCCGGCAATTGGGCTGCGGGGGAGGGTGCAAATCTGACAAGACACCAAGCGGAAAGCCCCTGGGCCCAAGAAGGGAGAGATGGGATTCTAATTTGGCAGTGGCGCCTGGTGCCCGTTGCTAATAAATAACCGGACTCACATTTACAAGGCGCTTCACTGGTAATAACAGCAAGTCGTTTGTATAAGGCACCCTGCTAGTGGTGGCAGTGAACAGCGGGACGCTTACGTTATCTCCTCTAATCTCAACAGCCGCTAAGTGCCTCTTGTCATCAGCATTCGGACAAGGAAACCGTGGCTCCAAGGTGGAAGGTACTCGGGTCACAACGCAGACCGCCAGCGGCGCGCGGAGCGCCTCAAAGCTTCCTTCCCCGCCAGGGGGTGGGGAGACCACAGGGCCAAGCGCGCAGGTGGCTGCACACCCACCAGGGGGCGGGCTCAGCCGGCGGGTCCCTCCTGTCACCCCGGCAGTCCACACGTCGCTCCACTTGCCCGAGAGCCCGCGCTGGTGCCGGCAGCGCAGGTGCTCCG